GTGTGTGGTTAAATGTTGGGCCAGCATCGCAACGTTTGTTCAGCTTAGTCTATCTTCAATGAGCCAAACATCAACCATCATGGATTACTGGTTGTGTCAAGTTGATTATCATCTGTGAATGAGGTCTGAGGTTACATGAAACACTATCCAAAACATCACAGCGTCTTCTCACTCCCAACTCAGCGGTTTGAGAGGTTTGTTGGTGGCCTAACACGTGAACCATGACGCTCTAGACTCCCTCTTTTTAATTTTTTTGTGGCCATATTTGACTTCAAAGGCTTTATATGTGATTTTTCACACTTAAATGTAATATAAATCAAATATATCCTCTGAAAATAACTCTGTGAGTCATGACTGTCTACAATGGGTGTAACACCCGATTCCCACTGTCTGTGATGCTTTCAGAGTTTTCCGAGTCCTATCTTCAGTTTGTTTACATCACCAGGACGGCCAGCTGACTCCTCCCCTCGTGTATAAAAGTTGTTTAATTGAGAGACTAGAGAAAAGAATAACAACATACTGTACTCACTGCTTAACTGTGTTTCTAGATCACGCTCATTTCAGGTAAATTTTCATGCAGTGTGAAGATACGAGCATAATAAAGATCGCTAGCATTAGCATGCTAACACAACAATACACCGCGAGTTGTTTTGGTTTCATGCTGGTGCTCAAGGGCGACATCTGCTGGATCAAAAAATTGCATATAAAGCCTTTAATAGATAGCTGAAGAGAGACAGGTATGGAGGGGAGAGCGGGGAGCAAAAGGGCAGAGGTCGGATTTGAGCCGAGCGGCAACCTCAGGTCTTGAAAAATGAAGCCGAAGTGCAAAATCCTGCAGCTCCTCAAGTGTCCACTAGAGGCTGGCTCCAGGGACACAGGAAGTCACATACACATGACTGGCAAAAAAGCTGTTTTTACATCATAAAAAAAACATGTTTACAGCCTGGTACAAAAAAACAAATAGGTCCTTTTTTTTAAATAATGTAACACATATCTGTCAGTTTACCCTCCTAACTCACACTGACTGTTTCTCAACAATAACTGGCCTGTGATGTCACTGCTCCCTAGCTGACACATTTGGCCTGACTCTAAGCCCCCAGTGGTTCAAATTGGCGCTTACTGTATCTGCTGTGGTACACTAACTGTCACTGTGCGGTGCCAAGAGAGCTACGCCCAGCAGGGCAGAGTGGATGATTAAATGATCATCTCCAAGGTGGTGGAGAGCATTAGGCTGTCCGCCAAGCCTATTAGACAACTAACCCCTCCGCCACGCTGCACACACACACACACACACACACACACACACACACACACACACACATCCGCGGGAAGGACAGCGAAACCTTGTGAAGTTTCACAAACTCTGACAAATGCTCTGAAATGAGAGGGAACACGGATATGAAGGGTGGAAATTAGAGGACGACTTTTTGCATTAACTGTGCAAAACCAAAACACAACTTATAGAATAATAAAACCTGAGACTGGATATGAGAGCTTGACTCAGACATTAAGACTTCACCCAGTCGTTTGAGGGCTACTGTTCAACAACACATTTTAGTCAACACCATCATGCCCGTTGGAGCCAGTGACCAGATTTCAACAAGAGGGTAAACGTCTTTTGTTACGCCTCCATCCTTGTTGATATGTTGCCATGGAAATGATTAACCCAACAACAGGTGGTCACTCCTTAAAGCATAGAAGGATTTATCCTCGTTCTAACTCAAAACGGGACGATAGCACTGACATGTATTGTACAAGACTTGAAGCTAACATTTGAGACCATGAACTCATTTGTTTAAAACAATGGAGAAGTGGACTCATTCTCTGATACACTTGATTTCTGCAACTAGTGAAGTCGCCCCCTAATGCCCGTTAGAAAGAATGCATGCTCAAGGTACTTCTGCTTTAGCATGTTCCTAAAACTAAAGCCCCTTTCAGACTGCTTTTTTCTCAAAAGTGCCATAACTAAGCTCAGCCATCATCACATTTTTTGTATGTTCATTTTGATTCTGCAACACCAAATATTGGTGTGTCCCATTCTGTGAATTCACACAGCATTCACAGCAGGAGCTCCACACACACACACACACACACACACACACACACACACACACACACACACACACACACACACACACACACACACACACACACACACACACAGCGTTGTGCTCCCCCGCCGAAACCATCTTGCCTTACTGGTGATTTGAAGTTGATTATCATCTGTGTTTGAGGTCTGAGATTGCAAGAAAGACTGTCCAAAACTTCACAGCACCTTCTCACTCCCAACTCGATGATTTGAGAGGTTGGTAAGGTTAGGAGGAGAGAACGGGGAGGAGAGATCCAACCCACGACCGCTGGGACGAGGATCTGAAACGGTACAGAGTGGGGGGGGGGGTCACTTTGTGCCACTGAAACGGCAGTCTGAGGGCTTCCGAGGCTCCACCCACTTCCTGTAAACAGCCTTTTAAGCTTGTGTCCACATGCTGCGGTCTTGTTGTCACATTTCATTTCAAATATCTATGAAGTTTTGGTGGAGCCCTAAGATTTATCTTGTGACTCTCTGGAGGAGACCTGGAACCAATGGTCCAGACTACAGAGCTGTATTTAAGAGAAGCACTGTCACATGCACTCATGCAGCTGCTTCATGCTTTATGAAATGTTATATCTGAGAACCTTTACACTTCAGTTCATTTCAGGAGTAATACTTCACTAAAGTAAGATCTTTGTCCTGTAATGGAGTTTCTTTTAAATTGCAGTACTCTAACTTTAACTGAAGTGAAAGATGAGAAACTTCTTCCTCCACTTTTTTTTTTTTACCACTTGATTAATGGCTCGTGCAGAGACCCAGGTTGAGTTCCTGTTTAGTCATGAAGATTTCTAAAAAAAAATCTGTACCTCGGCTATTCTGTCCGATTCGTGCTGATTGTAGAGCGCCGACCGTTTTTCCAACACAGTCGGCAGAACAGAGGACGGAGTGGGCAGATGAGGATGAAGGAAAGAACAATATAGAAGGGAAATAAAGTGCTGATTTCTCTCTCTCTCTCTCTCTCTCTCAGGATCCTGACTGTTTCTGTACAGAAAACCGACCTCCCACGCTATTCTTGCCTGGCCTATTTATCACATTGATCAGCTTATGAAGAAGTGGGATGTACACAGGCGGCACGCTGGTAATGTGAGTAAGAGAGAGAGAGATCATGATTTAGCTGCATCTTCTGAGAGAAGTGTTTTGAAAAGGTTGAAGTCTTGCTGACATGGTCGTTTTATTCACTTGGCCTTATGTCATCTGATTACCATAGATTAACATAGAACAGACATTTTTCCCTCTCTTTTTTCTTACACAATGATTTTAACATCTAGTAGCAAAATTAAAATCTGCAGATATTGAAAGAGATGGAAGCAAACCCGTAGACTGATAACATCCGTTTCTAAATGTTTTTTGGACTGTTGTTTGGACAAAATGAAGTTTGAATGATGTGACCGGGGGCTCTGGGAAGTTGCTCTGGGCTTACTTTGCTTTTTGACAACTTTTTGTAAATTCTCTTTAAATTTAAATAAATGATCTGAATCCTAATCATAATTTTAAAAAAAAACATGTTAGTTGTATGCTTTCCGGGCAGTTTCAGATTTTGGAAAAAATTATTTTTGTTATCCATCTTTATAAATCTGCTTCTTTTCGATACAAAGCATCACCTTTAACCTCCTACTTTGTGCATTAAACGAGTTCCTAAAATCATTTTGTTCTTATGCAACGACATCTCTAAAAGAGTTCCAGCCCGGGCACTAACACAGAAAACATTTGTTAAAGTTAAAGACGCTTTTATCTCAGCTGTCCCTGGCGTAAGCATGATTCCAGTTATGTCTTGGATGTGTTGGGGGAGCCACCATTTACCCCTCCTCCCCACCACCGCACACACACACACACACACACACACACACACACACACACACACACACACACACACACACACACACACACACACACACTTACAAACTGTGACTACCTACAGCAGCAAGAGACAAACAACAGCATCCTGGAAACAGTAATCCAATCGACCTGGAATCATCCCTCAAAATAGCCTGATGTAAGCCCCCAGTCACAGGAGAGTGAATTCACACCACAGCACTCTGCATCGTAGTCTATACGAGGAGCTGAAATGGATGAATGAAGGATATTTGCATTTCATCAGCATAACGCTGTGATCCTGCTGCTGCTGCTGCGTTCCTTACAGATGCTCTGGTGTATCCTCAGAATATCAACTATAATGGGGGGAGCTCCGTCCCTCTTATTGGTTTTCTGTGGCGTGAATAAATCAGCAGAATGTGTTCCTATACTGTCTCCGACCCTGTTTTGTTGGCAGGCATGGACAATCTGTGCAAGACTCCTCCACATTAACTGCAGCGTGACATGGCCATGGTGTTTTTGACTATTTGATTTCAGTGAAGAAAACAGACAATGATAAAAAAAAAAATAAAAAAAAACGCTGCACAAACACCATGTCACCTTATTTCTACCCGGGGTATAGGGGGTCACGTGGTACTCCTGTGATGTTTCTATAGGAACGTGAGCCATGCAGGGATATTCAATGCACTGACCTCAGGAGTCCATGACGAGGCGTGATAGCCCACTAAAAGCCTTTATGTGGGGGTTTCTATTGTTGTGCTTCATGCATACAGCACAGCGTTTTTTTTTGTCAAACATTTAAACAATTATTTTTGATTCATTTTTCTACCATATATCAAATTTAATCCAATTTAGGGACAGATTTGGAGGTAAAAACCTTAATCTGAAAGGTGTCACAACTGCAGCAGTGGATGTAGAGGTGACTAAACTGGAGGGCTGATCATTAAAAATGTGCATACTGCAAGGTGGCTTAACGTGAAAACACAACCTGCTGGTCAGTTGAGTTGTTTCTTGTGTTTTGCTTGTGAGTGTTTGCATTTTTTGAGGCTGATTAAAAAAAACAAAAAAAAAGCTCAGTAATTCAAAGAGTGCCTACCGCACAGCAGCTGCATCCAGGCGCAGGTCTTGTAAACGGTGGAGGTGTTGCAGAAGAAGAAGAGCGCCATGCAGGCGATGCAGCTGAGGGTCAGCACCATGGACAGCAGCACGAACACCGAGGCCGCCTTGAAGGCTCCGGACGGGATGGAGCTGAAGTCGGAGAAGCTGCCCACGCAGGTGAGCTCCCGGCTGGGCGACGGCCCCGTGCCCACGCAGTAGTGGAAGAGGCCGAAGTAGCCGGCCTGCGGCGTGTTGACGCTGTCGCCGATCCAGTAGGGCTGGATGAACACCACCACGTTGACGATGGCGAAGCAGATGGTGAAGATGGCCCACAGCACCCCGATGGCCCGGGAGTTGCGCATGTAATTGTCATGGTAGATCTTGGAGGCTTCTTGGGAAGGCAACATGTTTGGTGTTTTTTTTTTGTTGTTGTTTAGTTAAATCCGTGTTTCTCTCTTTCCACCCCCGTACTTTTCCTTTTTTTTTTTTTTTTTTTAGATCTTAACAAGAAAAGAAAATCTATTAAAACCCCTCACTGAACAGATGTGTTTCGTTTTTCTGTATCAAAGCTCCTTTTTTTTCCAGCTTTGGCTGTTTCTTATTAAAGGCTAATAAAAGGCCCTACATAACCACACGGTAAAAAAAATGTAACCTGCAAATATGTGTGTGATAATACAAGACGACACATTGTAAAAATGAATGAGAGAAAATGCTACATTGAAGCAAATACAAAAAAAAAAATCATAGCCAACCTATACCACTAATGAATTATTTACCAAGACCAGTGATTCAACATTGCTGTCTAAGGCTCGTTTCCTTGGGGGCTACACCATGAATGATGTAAAAAAAAAAAAAAAAATCCATCAAAATAGGGGTTTCTTTATTTCACAGTGGAGGTGGGTTAAAGCTGTTTTTCATCCTCATCCCTCAGTCCACAGCCTTCCTTCAGGATGTCCTTTATTAGCATCCGTGAGATGAGATGCTTCTTGTTGCCTGTAGCGCCAGCGGTGGACCCCGTTTTTACCTTCCGAGGCATCCGTGGGGTGCTCCCCTTCTCCCCTTCTCCCCCCTCTGCTCTTCTTCAGAGTCCACGCAGCATGTGGGGGACCAAAATGAACGAAGAAAAAAAAGAGGAAAAAAAAAACCCGAGGATGATGTCTGAACACGAACCCTCTCTTGTCAAATTTCAACAGTCCTCTCTCGTAAATCCGACATCCTCCACCGCCTCGCCTCCATTATCATCACGGTTTTTTTTGTGGTAGCCTTTATCCTGTGTGTCTCCTCTCCCTCTCCCCCTCTCTCTCTCTCTTTCTCCTTCCTCCACCTCCCGTTTCTATGCGCGCGCCCCCCCCACCCCCACCCCCGGAAGATGCTGATGTTGTCCTGATGACAGCGATGGAGCGCGTCCACGTGTACGCGGCCACAGCAGATACAGGAGTAGGAAATTTGCGTCGACGCGCGCCCCCGCCTCTTTTCACCTTGAATTAGAAATCAGACCAAGACACACGTTAGACCATGGCCTCCTGTTTGATCAGTGATTGACCTAATGCTAAAGGATGTGTTGTACTGTGTGATGAAACAAATACTCCAGTCTTATTAGAAAACCAGCTAATATATCTATCTATGAGAGCACAACTGCATATTATTTAAGGTTTTTTTGTGGTACTTTCTTTTCATTGATATTTTCAGAGTAAAAGAAGGCAAAAGAAAAGAAGGTAATAAAGGTAACACGTGTCTTACATTAGTGAAAAAAACAGTTGTACATTAGTGAGTTTTTTCACTTAAAGGCTTTATATGTGATTTTTCACACAAATGTAATATAAATCAAGTATATCCTCTGAAAATAACTCTGTGAGTCATGACTGTCTACAATGGGTGTAACACCAGAGTCCCACTGTCTGTGATGTTTTCAGAGTTTTCAGAGTTCTATCTTCAGTTTGTTTACATCGCCTGGACGGCCGGCTGACTCCTCCCCTCGTGTATAAAAGTTGTTTAATTGAGGGACTAGAGAAAAGAAGAATAACATACTGTACTCACTGCTTAACTGTGTTTCTAGATCACGCTCATTTCAGGTAAATTTACATGCAGTGTGAAGATACGAGCATAATAAAGATCGCTAGCATTAGCATGCTAACACAACAATGCACCGCAAGTTGTTTTGGTTTCATGCTGGTGCTCAAGGGCGACATCTGCTGGATCAAAAAATCGCATATAAAGCCTTTAAGCTGGATTACATTTCATACATTAGTCCATTTCTTCCAGACCTTTATATATTAGTCAAATGTTAACCTTAATGAGAAGGTCAGACTCTCCATGCAGGGTATTTCGTTGACTATTGCTAACCAATCAGCAGTGGCGTTTCTAGAGTCTGTTGGGGCCTCAGGCAAGAAATAATTGTGGGCCCTACAACCTGCATTTTATCCCCATTATGTCTGCCATTGTCCCGACGCTTACTCCTCTTTCTCTGTTTTACCTGCTTCTGTTTTCTCTCCATCATTTTTATGGTGCTTTCCAATTGATAACTCCTCTGTGCGAGTGGAGGGGGGCTGGAGGTGTGTCTCTGGAGGAGAGCGGAGGCTTCAGTATGGAGGAGGTGAGGGCAAACAGCAGTTTGTTTTGGTTTCATGCTGGAGCTCAAGGGCGACATCTACTGGATCAAAAAGTCGCACACTCTTCCTTCCATGTCTTTATCGGCTCACACTGAACAGGAGGGCAAATTTTCTTATAACAAACCCCGTTTTGATTTTATGAAGGATACAAGTTATTCACAATGATGGGTGTGACAGATCTGACTGCTAGTGTTAGCGGTGTATCAGTTTGTCAGGCGGTTTAAAGCTCGACTCAGCTCCGACTCTTTCATTGAGTGGAGGTTGGATCGATCATTTCTGATGCATTTCATGTAGTCAGAGGAATCAAAACGCAGAATGATTGATAGGTTTGATCTATAACCGATTGCCAGCTGCACTTTTATGCAGGTATTTATTCCTGGAGACAAATAAACCATCATCAGAATCCTGCAGGAGCCTGGATGTCATTGTGGACTGAACTCCAAAGAGACTATATTTCCTGCAAACACCAAAACCTCCTGATGCGAAATTGGTCACTAAAGCTCAGGCTACAAATGTGCTAAAAAACAGAAGCTAGAACCCTTCCCATGTTGAAAATCCAGACCCCCCTAAGTACAGATTATCACCTGACTTCTGCCACCAGTAAAAGTCCCTGCACACAACTATAAAAGTATACAAGGCATAATGAGCTGCTGCAAAGATGACCTACAGTTAAGTTTTTACAGAGAGTCTAAAAATGTCTGCCTCTTCCTTTAAGCTCGAGTGATCATGAGGATGAAGTGGTTATTAGACGTGTGAACAAGAATATCTGCAGATAAAAAAAAAGGATAAAATTAGTGCTACCGCTGAGTGCATCACAGTTCTCGCTTCTCTTTGTGTTTTTTGTATTCAGCGCTCTCATATTCTTCAGGGCCAGATGTTGTTGCGTTAACTATTGAAGCCTTCGTTCTCTGTCCATTAAAAGCTCTGTTACGCACTCTGGGGAGACACGCATCTGCCCTCCAGCTAGCACATTCATGGAAAAAAGTAGGCCAAGACAGTATAGTGTGTGTGTGTGAGAGAGTGTGTGTTTTAGAGGTGGAACATACACAGACTGTTGTGTAGGACGGTTACATACACAGCTGAAGTTTGGTGTTCAAGCAGGTTGTGTTTGAGTTTGACAAAATAAACAGGAAAAAGAGCAAAATCCCCTCATGTTTCCTGTTTCTTTAAAGCTCCTAGACGTGTTAAATTATGCACTGGCTTCACTTTTCTGTCATATCTTTCGGCCGTGGCGTACATGCAGAACACACGTAGCACATCTGGATGCTGTCTAAACAAACATGTTATTTTGCCGTCCACTTCTGCAGCACTCAGACTTTCTTTTCCCCTCATCCCGAGGCCTCCTGTCGTCAGTTAGCTGCAGCATGGGAGTTGACAAGCTGTGGTTGTGTGTGTGCAGACGTGTGAGCATGTGGGGGTTTATGTGCGTTTGCGCGCTAAAATCAGTCGGGTGAGAGATAAAGGAAGAGGAAGGTGAGGAAGTGATGACATGTCAGTGGAAGAAAATAGACTTGTAGTATAATAGACCCTCTGAGAAATAAAAGGTGTTCTGAGAGAGAAAGAGAGAGAGAGAGAGAGACAGAGAGAGAGGGAGAGAGGGAGAGAGGGAGAGAGAGAGAGAGAGAGGGAGAGAGAGAGAGAAAGAGAGAGAGGGAGAGAGGGAGAGAGAGAGAGAGGGAGGGAGAGAGAGAGAGAGAGAGTGAGAGAGAGGGGGAGAGAGAGAGAGAGAGAGAGAGCGAGCGAGAGGGAGAGAGAGGGAGAGAGAGAGAGCAAGGGAGAGAGAGGGGGGAGAGAGAGAGAGAAAGAGAGAGGGAGAGAGGGAGAGAGAGAGAGAGAGAGAGAGAGAGAGAGAGAGAGGGGAGAGAGAGAGAGAGAAAGAGAGAGAGGGAGAGAGAGGGAGAGAGAGAGAGCAAGGGAGAGAGAGAGAGAGCAAGGGAGAGAGAGAGAGAGAGAGGGAGAGCGAGAGAGAGAGAGAGGGATTTTTTGATAGATTTCTAAAAAAACCTTTATTAGTCAGATTAGAAGTCAGATCACTTTCTCACCAACAGCAAACAGACAAAAATCAACAACAACAAAAAAAAATGCAACTAGCTGTTCTGATCCCTCTGATTGTATATCCTTAATAACTCAGATATGATGACGGTGATATAAAGCATTGTTGATGCATGCATGAGCTACTTTGAATTCTTGTTCAGTCCTGCTAGATCATGAAGTACAACATGAACCACTTCCTGCTTCTTCATGCATGAAGTCATGTATGAATTCAAGATAATTCATGTAACCTTACTTTAAAGTGTTATCGTATCAATTATGGATGATGACACACTTTTAGACCTTGCAATGTGTGTGTGTGTGTGTGTGTGTGTGTGTGTGTGTGTGTGTGTGTCTATCTCAGCACACAGTGATTTACCTTTGTGCCTGTGATCCTGTCTTAGGCCGCCATCTGCTGGACAGCAAGTGAACTCCATGTTTGTAAAAGTCTGTTTACAAATATTAATTATTCATCCAGTGAGTGCGTGGAGAGCAGGTACATTTTTTACACACATGAAAACATCTTGAGGGTGTGTGTGTGTGTGTGTGTGTGTGTCAGGTAAAACATCATGCATCACCAAATTAAAATCCCTAAACTAGATGTGCATGTTTTTTTTTTCTGTCCCTCAATACTTTATGACTTCCTCTCCCTCTCTAGATCTCACAAGTTCTAAGGATTTAGTGGGAAGAACTGGAGAGGAGCCTGCAGAGAGAGGCCTGCAGGTTCAGAGCCTAGACTGAGTAAGGGTCAGCCTAATAAGAGGAGGGGATGAAGCCTGTTACATTCAATACAGAGCAGAACAAATATATCAAGAAACAGGAAAGAAAATAAAAGAGCAAGTGAATAATAAACTCTACACTTTTTCCAACAATCCAACAGGATTGTGTGATAATTGTCAACAGGCAGTAAAGCACAGCCTCATATCATGCAGGACGTTCATACAGGAGAGACGAGTAATGATGTCATGTTTGCAGAAAATAGGAAAGCCAGTGGAAGCTAGTGTGAGGAGCATCTAGGAGTGTGGAGAATAAGAGTGAGCACAAGGGAGGAAAGGCCTCTATAGTGGATTTGAGACGTTTACATAATGAAGGAGAATGGATCCTGGAGGTGCAGCAATGTGGATGTATGCTGCTGTAAAACACCAAAGAAGAAGAAGAAAGAAGTAGGGAAGGATTATTGTGCGTGTATTAAATTTTAAGTTAAAGTTGTGAGAAGATACATTTCAAATCAAGCTGTAGGTGATAACGTCAATCACCTCTTAAAATCACCTCAGAGGTCAGTCTGGATTATCTGGAGTGCACCTGATGAGATCCGCAAAAATCTAGCACACCATGAATCTATTTTACAACCAAATCTGTATTTTTCTGAATATTTGAAGAGTTTGAAAGCGAGTCCGTCTTCAACCTGCTTACATCACTTCATGTCCCACCTTACAGCTCTGTTGATAAAGTCAGGTATAAGAACATTTCCATTTCTGTCTTATAACGGAGCAGCTGTTTGCTTCATCCAGTGGCTAAAGCAATTTTAGAATATATTCAAATGGTGATTTTCCTGTATGAGAAGAAGCACTGTGAACGTGTTGACAAATTCCCTCCAATGCAAATATTACAGATGATATTTAAGTTGCA